CCTTATTTCCATGTGAATTTTCTTTAGATACTTCATTGTAGATCCATGACTATTCTTCTCTCTCCTTCCTAGTATATGAAAATCATGGACTTTCATCTTGTTCATAGTTTTTTTTTATTAAAGATAGACCTCATTAAAAACCCCCTTCATATCCTACATGTTATATCAGTAACATGAAGGACATAGGAAGGAGGAAAAGAGCACCTCTGAATTTTATTACTCTGAATCATAACGTACAACCAATTCCTAGTCATATACTGCTTGACATAAGACTTAAAAACATAAAACAAACTGCTTGACATCTTGTTCATAGTTGGTACTCTATATTATCATTTGAAGTTGGAATATTTAGTGATGAAAAAAATGCATATTTTTCAGATATTGGAACAGCAATCCAGAGCTTCTGATGATTTTCAAGAAGTTGGTTCTGAAGAAAGAGTTTTTAGAAAAAAATTTAGCATGGACGCACCACTGGAGAACAAGATTTGTGAACTTTATGACCTCTATGTTGATGTAATCACATATCCCATATTGACAAATTCATCTTTGTTGGGAAAGTCTTATTCGTAATGAATCTTATCTTCGCTTTTCTATCGTTTATTTGCTGCAGGGATTAGATGAAGATGCTGGTCCACAAATCAGAAAGCTTTATGTAGAGGTTAGGGACTAATCAGAAATCTTCATATTGCTCGCTTTTGGAGTCTCTGAATATGGACAAATATGCTTCTGCAATTATTTTTTTTTGTAATAGCTTTTGATGGTATCATTGCTCTTGCCATTTGGACGAGAGTTGTGCATGAGATTGCTCGGTTTCTTTCTATTCTACTCACCTTTTCTCTTGTCTTTTCCTACCTAAAAGACACCTTCAATTGCTAGTTGCTTAACAGAATTCATAGAGTTTATCCTACACGGTCACTATTGTTCTTCAAATAATTTGAACCAATCTTGTGAAGTTCTTCAACTCATGTCCTGAGTTAACCTTAAATGGATATCTCGTTCTTTGTTTTGACCATGTTCCTTTTGCTTTTAGTTTGTTGGTGATAAAGCTAATAATTATTGTTTCTAATGCTCAGTTATAGTTCTACATTTTCTGATACATTATTATCTTACATTTGGCGTTCATCTTTGAACAGCTTGCACAGCTGTGGCCAAATGGTATGATGGACAACCATGACATTAAACGTGCAATTTGTCGGGCGAAGGAAAGACGTAGAGCAAGGTACAATAGACGTAAGGTATGTACTCTTCTCAGCATTTTGCCATTGTTGCGATATTGTATTTTATCAGTGTTTATATGTTTTCAAAAGTCTTGCATATTGAATGCAAATCCATTTTGCAAATATTTAGCTTTGAAGTTTTGCTAGGCTTGGCTATTGAAGATCTTTCTTTTCCAAACATTTAGCTCAACTTAGCCCATGTTTGTAATTCTTGGGTTTTCAGGTTCAGATGAAGCAAAACCCGATGGATACTGGGTGTTTTGCTTGCCGTTTTTCGACGTGTCTCCGATTTATTGATTGTTGATTCCCATTCTCCTTTTCTTCTGGTTGATTGATGTTTTCTTATTGCGTGTTTTTTTTTCTTCCTTAAAAGGATCAAGAGAAAATGAGGAAAAAGATGTTGGATCCAGGAGTGGAGAGTGCTCGAGTGGATTCTTCCTCAAGTGCACAGTCACAGCACACACAGGAGAAGTCGGCTAGTGATCCTGGTATTCGATCTTTACTTTCAATCCATAAGTCGATTTCCATCACAACAACAGCTGCTGTCCATGTTCCGAGTCCCTCAACAAATGATTCCAGTTTCGACAGACTTAAACAGGATAAGTTAAAGGGCATCTCAAGTAGTGCCATGGATGATGAATTCAAGATGGCGGATGCCTCACTGCCAAAGAAGAAGGTAAAAAGGAAGCCAGAATCGGAGTTGGATGAACCTCATTTCCAGCCCGAAAAGTTAGCTCCACAACAAGGCACCAGCGACCGGCACAAGTCCATCAAACAGCCGACGAATCTTGCTCCAAAATCAAATGTTCCGGCGACAGCTACGGGTTTCAAACACTAAAAAGCTAACATCATAAACACTCGATTCTCAGCTTTTTAATTTCCATGTTGGTTACATTATGGAGAGCTTCATTGTTCCCGAGTTCCATAGTTGTAAATAAATTTTTTGTAGGAAATAGCGAAATGGTTGTACGGCAAATATAATTTTCTAGGAGCTTCAACATTTTTAGAGGAGTTTATACTAACACGAAATTTCGCAACTTTATTAATTTAAAATTTTAGTATTTTTATTGCATCCAGAGCAGTGAACAGTATTTGATTAAATTTACAGTTAAATAAAACTAATTTGTATTTATATAAGTTTCTATTTTTTTAATATTCAAGTTATTTTTGAGCTAAAGATTTATTTTAATTTATACTACATGTTAGGAAAATATTAAAATAATATTCTTTCAAATGTTAAGAGTATTTTTGCTTTTATTTTTTATATAATATTTAAATAAAATAATTAAAAGTTACTATTTAATATTTCAAACTCTTTATGAATGTGTAATATATAAGTCTTTTACTATACTATATAATATATAGTACCTTTGAATACCACAAAAAAGTTTTAAGTATTTAATCAAGTGGAATAGCTTTTTAAATGTTTTCGAATGGTCAACTTAAATTATCAAGTTTTTATTAGATCGTGGACCTGTGGTTGACACTAAATTTAAAGTACAATTAAAAAAATAATCCAATTAATTGATATTAGGGTAAGGCACACAAATGGCCTCCCAACTATAGGATGTTGCTCCGTTGAGTCCCCTAATTATTAAAAGATAAAATAGTCACTTAACTATTCATATGTTTCAAATTGTCATTTTTCGTTAAAAAATTGACCATCCATCTGAGCTGGATGTTAACATACTAACTGAGACATGATAAAACCATATTTTAATGATGTCTACTGGCACCACTATTGCTTTCAAGCATTGGCTCCTTATCATAATGTTTCAAGTACTGGCTCGAAGACATAATATAAATGGAGATTCAATTCACAAAATACAACTACAACGATTCTGGGATCATATATGATCACGTCCTATTCAATAGGTTAACATTTATCTCAGACGACCATCAATTTTTAACGAAAAAAGAACGAGTTTGGAATATATGAATAGTAGGGTGACCATATTGTAACTTTTAATAGTGGAAGATTCAATAAAGCAACACCCTATAGTCGAGGGGCCATTTTGTTACTTTTAAGTCATGAGACTCGACAAAACAACATCTTATTGTCAGAGGACCATTTATGTACTTTACCCTTGATATTATTATAAACTTTTAAAAGTTTTGAATTTAAACAAATTTAAAATGCTCAAATAAATATAATTAATTAATAATCTAAAGTTGTAATAATAAATCTCGCAATAATAAAGATCCCAATCTTATAGAAACAAGAAAAATCTCAAATTAGCTTTCATAAAATTTGGTCATCTTCTTTGTCTTTACCAGCTTGAGATGCATGTATGTAACTTAAGATTTGGAATGCATGCAATACATGTTCTTCAAAGGCATTTCACTTATATAATTATTTCTTAAGCAATTGCATCATAAATGATATTAATAAGATTTACCAAAATAAACATAGGCAAATACAAGAATAGTACTTCAATTATAGAATATTATTTTTTTTATTAAATCTTCGATTTAAAAAAGGTTATAAAATGGTTACATGACTTAGAAAAATAATAAACTAAAAAAATTACGTTACATGATGTGATGTGATTGTTAGTAAAACTGAAATAACAATAAATTTAATTCTCAACTTTTACATTTTGTTTTAATTTGTTGAAGGTTAAATTTTAAAATAAAGACGAAATTAAAATAGAGTATAAAGGTTGAGAGATAAATTTATTATTATATAAATCTTATTAATATAATATCATATGAAGTCAACTTTTTAAGAGAAAATATTAGTTTTTGTTTTTTTAAGTTGGAGAATGATTTTATAACTTGTTATAGACGGGAGATTAAAAAAAAGAGTTCCCTAATTGAGGAATAATAATCGTATTTTACCCGAAAGACATTAGTCGAAAGAGTACGTGGTGTTAAAAAAACTCGTACTCATTAACTGTAACTATTAACCGGTATAATTGTTATATTTAACATGTTAACTAATCGAATCGTTAATGTTAAACGGTTTTGGTAAATCAAATCGTTAAAAATGATGGTTAACAGTTAAGATTACAGGCATAAATTTCGATAAATGATTAACCGTGTTAACCATTAATAAATTAAATTTATAATAATATTGGGAAATGTACATAATTACACTGATGTAAGTATGTATTAAGTACTATATTATTTTGGAGATGTACATACTTATACCAATATAAGTACGTGTTCAGTGCTACACTTTTTTATAGTATGAATTATGAAACTTTAGAACATTTATATTGCATTATTTTTTAAAAAATAATTGTAATAGGTTAACTTGTAAATTAACCATTAATAAATGTTAACCTTTTCCTAATTGTTAGGTTACAGTTAAAAAAATATCGTAACCGTTATAACGATTAACCGACCGTTTAAATTAAATAGTACGATTAACCGTTCTTGAGCATCAAAGAATTCAGTTTTGGTAAATACAATAATCTTTGGGGAGTGGAAAGTTGATCGGATGCAGAATAATTAAGTGAAAATTATTTATATATAAGAATAAGATCCGATTATACAATCTCTTTGTTTTACATATATTTAAAATGTTAAATTAATGAAAATAATTGATTTGGATTAACTATAAAAAATAAGTAGATATTCACTAAGAAAATAATGAATTAATTTTAATAATTTATTTTTATTTATTCAACAACTCTAAATATATGTAAAATTAAAAGGATTTTACATTATTACGATACATATTATCACTCCCCAAACATAAAAAAACAACAAAAACAAGCAAACAGTGCAGTATTCTTGAGCTCTCAATTACTTCCTTTTCCAGGCAAAGAAAGGGCTCTCAATTAACCCAGAAACATACTGAAATTTAAAGGTTTTTATTTTAGATCTTCTTACACGGTCCTTACAGCTTGGAACCTGGGTTCTTTAGGGAGGAACTTTTGCTGCACATAAACAGACATATAATCACCGAAAACAAACTTGGGATACGTTTGATCCATTTCTTCCTTCGTCCCCTTCACTAGTTGTGTTGCTGGAGCAATCGTGGCTTCCAGTGAAGGGTTATAAAACGAAGCAATCGACAGCCTGTTGCCTTCCACGGTGCTCAACACGCGGTGCCATGCACTCTTGTACCGCCCGTTGCTAAGGACCTCGATTTGGTCACCGGTGTTGATGACGATCGTGTTCTTCAACGGCTGAACATAGATCCATTCCCCGTCTTTAAGTACTTGAAGGCCGCTTACTTCGTCGTCTTGGAAGAGTAAGATGACGCCACCGGCGTCGGTGTGAGCTCGGAGACCGGTTACCTTCTCTGGGTTCGGACACGGCGGGTAGTGGCTCACCTTGGTGCCAAAGAAGGCGTTGCTTTCGCTTTCTCCACCGTTGAAAGCTTTCTTGATGTATCCCTTTGGTAACCCTAAGTTGTCATCCATTACTTCCATGATTTTTACAGCCAGTTTCTTCAACTCACATCTATATTCCTTCATGGTTTCCCTGTCATCAACATCAACATCAACATCATAACGCACATACATACATGCATGCATACATACATGCATGCATACATACATGCATGCATACATACATGCATGCATACTACCATTTGAATGAATATTGACTTACTGGAATCCTGGTGTCTTGAATGGCCATTGATTATCATCTGCCAAAGTTATAACATCTTCCCAATCCACATTCTCCAGCTTTTCATCACCAGTTTCTTTGAATAAATTCACCACCTCTGAGTTGTTGAAATTCTCTTCCCTTTCCAACTTATAGAACTCTGATGAAACTCTCTTCACCCTCTCCAGGAGTTCCTCACCAATCCCATGGTTCATCACCTGCAACAAACATCCACATATTTAACATACACCAAAACTTATAATATCATTGTTCATCATGTTACTCAGACTTAAGTTTGAACTTCAATACAAAAATACATAACTGGATTCTAACAATTACATTTGCAGGGTTTATATACATCATCAATAAATGTAAAAAAATTATGAACACATAGTATCTTGTAATATCATATACGAGAATATTTACGATCGATATTAAGAAGATAAGAAAAGGGTACTTGAAAAAAGCCCCATTCCTGGCATGCATGGGCAATCTGAGCAAGTGTCCGGGCCCTGTCTTGTCCATTGAGCTTAGAGAAATCAATCACTGGAATCGCCATCGAAAAGAGATGAGTTGCTTTGCTAAGTATTGCAGGTGTTTTTGTTGTGTGTACAATTAACAATGAAAGGGGGTTTGGCCCTGTTTATAGAAGAAGCATAGGGTTTCCAGTTTTATTGGATTTGTCAAAAGCATTGAATTTGTATCTCGAAGTCACCATTAATGTGATGAGGTGTGGGAGATGGTGACACAATCTTTATTTAATTAATTAAATAATGAAAGCAAGGTCAATGGTTTGAGATGTTTATTTGGTAATTAATGCACGACAAAAGCATCTTCTCTCTGGGAACAATCACTGGCTAATAGAATTTTGATCATTCCTTATGTTTGAATGCTAAATGTTTTTAGATTCAACTCAGTATATTTTAGAAAATTATAAATTTAAATGTATTTAAGTATAATTATTTTAATTTAAAAGTTTAAAAGACAATTTAAATATTATATCAAAAGCTTTATACAATTCAAATTGCCTCTTAATTCAATGGCAAGATTATAGAAATTTTAAAGTTTTAAGTTCAACTTTCATTACATATTTTTTATGAACACTAATTTAAATATATTTAATAAGATGGGATATTAAATAAAATTAAATATTTAAATTTTAATATTATAAATGGAGTAAACTAGATTAAGAGTAGGGATGGAAAAAAAAGTGAGACAAGTTAAATTTTTTTGTTGCCTCGACTCTAAACTTAAATAATATATATAATAATATTTTCATAAATATAATAGTATTTAGTAAATTTAGTATTTTAATTGTACCTTTTTAAATTGTATATGAGGCAGGTTAGGGCATATCTCCCTTAAATTAGATCTCCAATCGACTCTCATTTTTTTAACAGTCACCCCAAAATCTTTTTTCAATCAATCTTGTCTGATCGAAATTCGTTTACTTCAAATATTTTTAAATCCTTAATTGAGAGGATTGTTATCGTAATAGACTTTACAATATTTGATCTAAATTAGTTGACCAATTAGTGATATATCTATAATTATAAAAATATTTTAAAATTAATTGAATGAGTTAATTGAAATACAAAATGTTATTTATTTTATTTTTTAACATATCTTTAACATATTATATTATTTTTTAAACATATCTGTTAATTCTTTCGATTAGTGTGCAAGCAAACGAAAGATATAGAATTTAGCACAATGATTTAGAATGGTTTGAATTTTAAACCAAGTCTACATCCATTACCTGTAACACCCCCAACCCGTACCCTACCCAGATACGAATCTGAGGTGTCACATTGATTTTCCAAAAAACCTTTACACTTATAAAAATCATGAAAATTTAAACTTTCATTAAAATAAATGTAACTAATTTACATAAGTATGTTCAAAACATTACAAAACCGATCAGAGATACGTAATTCACAACTTTGTTTACATGCCAACATATTTATTACAACAAAATACATACTGTGTAAATTAATTCTGATCTTATCTTCGAGTGGAGGTATGATGTTCCGCAGATCCTAAGTCTAATCCTCTTGCTTCTCAGTACCTACGTGTGAAACACTTACACGCTAAGTCATTGACTTAGTGAGACATGTAATAAAATAATGTATTTCCTAAAGTATGAACATGCAATACAATCATTCCATATGCAATCACCATTATCATATCACTATTTAATCATGTCACATATGTTCCATCAATAAAAATAATAACATGATATCTTATAATAATGTAAACTCTTTTTATATCTTTTATGTGCCCATGTACATTATTGAGAACTTAAGGTATACGAGTACATTGAGGTTGTGCACATATGCTATCACCACAACTCGTATAAGGGTCTACTGAGTGGCATATAAAATTTGTCCTGTAGGACCTCATGTATGTCCCAAAGAACCTTGTATATGTCCCGAAGGTCCTCATATAACCCTCTACTCTTGGCATGCCAACTATACCTATAGCTCTCATATCACATAACACGGGCTTGAATATTATAGGTTCAATATATCCATATAATCACTAATTCATGTACTCATATAATTTTCTCTCTTAATCACATATATCTTATCACATATCATGTATCACATGGACATATAATCATCTATATCATGTCATATAACTTATGTTATTTGATTATGTTCACATGGATCATATAACATATATCAAAACATATAAACATATAACACTTATGCATGTCTTATAATGATCATAATATATGCATGTTCATAACTATTGAACCATGAAATTTAAATATAGTAAATAGACTTATCACAAGTCTTATTTCCATAAAACTACATTTATGCTATAGCATGCACTCACCTTAGCATCACTTAATCCCAATCAACTTCTATGACTTTATACTTCTTAATCGATCCTAACACTTTGGTCGTTCCGGAACTTGCTTATGCTCGATATCTACACAATCATACATTTGATATGCATATCAAAATTCTAAGTATCATAATTCGATCCTTAATAACTCAAGCTAAAAGAAAGGCTTGATTCAGTTTTCCACTTTGAGTAGTATCGATACCCTATGTATGGTACCGATACTTCTCTAGCTGTGGTATCGATACCAAGCCTGGGTATAGATACCCTTTTTCGATTCTTTAATCCTTATTTCAAAATGGTACCGATACTAGCCTTATGGTATCGATACCCTTGGTATTGATACTACCCCTTAGGTATCGATACCCCTTGAATAACTTATCAAATTTTGGCTTATGGTATCGATATTGTTCAACCAGTATCGATACCCACACCCTAATTATCACTTATTTACCTTTGAAGTATCGGTACCGGATGAAGCAACACTTTATACTACTAACCTAGAAGTCACTTTTTAAACTCAAAATTTACCAATATCAGCTTAAACCCTTCATTTCTAAATCCCTTTCATACCCTTAAACTCAAATACACATACTCAAATCACTTTATATTCATATAACACACCTTTATCTTCCAAATCTCATCCTATATCTTGAAATCAAGAATCCTACCAATTTTCCAACATGTTATAATTTCAATTCTAACACTTCATACTTCTTAATTTAGCTGATGATAAGTCAATTTTAGTTTCAAACTTAACTTACTAACTTTCTCCCAAGATTTCACTTATAAACCTCTCATCATTAATCCTTCATATCTCTTTCATCTTTTGATTTTAAGACAACTTAAGCTTTCCTTAAGCTTAAGTATCATTAAGGAACATAAACTAAACTTAAATTCAATTCAAAATCAGCTAACAAGAAACTCACCTTTGCTTATGGTAGCTCACGGCTGAAAGAGGAAGAAGATTGTAAATATTATGTTGAAATCTTTCTTTTCCCCATTTCCTTTAATTCTCCATGTGTATATATCCTCACCATAATCCATTTTTAATTCATTTATTGGTCAAATGACCATTTTTCCCTTCTAATCATCCTTCTTTGCTATTCAGTCATATACAAAATATTCCATATAAGTCCCTGAACTTTTCAATTTATCTACTTTAGTCATTAAATTCTAAAATTTTACAATTTGGTCACTAACCTGGTGTTTGGGATGTTACACCACCTTAGTATTCACACTAAGGATTTCTCAAATCCACTAGATTTTCTTACCTTTAGGGATCATTTGGTTCACATAATGTAAGATTACAATTGAGAATAAGATTACCGAAATGTTGCATTACTTAATACATTATTGGGAATGTTGTATTATCTTGTTTAGTTTGTTTGGCAGGAATGTAAGATTACATTGTTTGGTTGAAAAATATAAAATTAGAAAAATGTATGTTTTACCAAAATTTTCTTGAGACATATTTTCTTTTTTAACTCATATTTTTTTATTTTTTTTAATTCTTTGAAATTATAGAAACATACTTGCACTGATATAATTATGTGTTTATTTCTAGGTACTAAAATATTGAGAGATGTACATACTAAACCGATGTAAGTATATTAATTGCTACATTTTTTTATTTCTTTGAAAATACATAAACATAATTACACAATATAATAATGTGTTTATTTTTAGTTAGGTACCAAGATATTGAGAGATGTACACACTGACATGGTGTAAGTGTGTGTTATTTTATATATTTTTATTTTATAAATTTTAAAAGATAAATGAGTAAAATAAAAGGGTAAATATATCATATATTCTTTTAATCCTAATAAGCATTAATTTTTACATCATTTCAATAGTCGCATAGCAAAAGAGGAATACAAGTACCTAATAAAGTTTGCTATATCTCACATGGCAAAGTCCTCTGTTGTTGATAACATATGATTTAAGGAATAACAAGAAGGATGCCTTTCAAATATTTCTTTTGTTTTAGGGATATTTTTGTCCAAGTTGATAGAAATTGTTAAATACCTAAGAGAGGGAGAGGAATAGTATTCATGAGAAAACACTCAAAAATTACTACTGTAGGGAATGCTCTTAAACCAAACGTGGATATGTAATTCTGGAAAGGATTATTTCCCTTGGTAATGATTTTTTTTCTGCAAACCAAATGTCCTATTAAGGACAAGGTGTAACCTTACAAACACTTCAAGGTTTATGCCCCAAAATCTTGATTTACACACTCTCCTAAAGAGCAATTACAAATGAAGCAAACAAAGAAAAAACTTCACAAGGTAAATATGTTTGCACAATTTAACTCTAACCCAAATCACACTTGAACAAAATAGACAATGAGCTCAGCAAGTGTGTTACAAAGAATATGTTAAAAATAAGCTCTAAAACTCTTTTGATGTTGGTATAATCTTTCAATATTATTTCTCGTTAGTCTTCAATTGAATATTGATCCCTTTTATGTCCTCTAATGTACTTCTAGTCGTTTGAAGCCGTTGGAAGCATTAATCTAGAGCATTAAATGCTTACTTACAACTTTGGTATCGATATTGAGAAATGGGTATCGAGACCAAGCATCCAAACTTTCAAAAATATAATACAATTGGATCATTCGATATCAACATCGTCTAGTGAGTATTGATACTTATATACTGGTATCAAGATCAACATTTTGGTATCGATACCAATATTGTATTCTAGAATGTTGGTATTGATACTAGCCACTAATTTCGAGACTGATGAGTAATTT